GTGTTCCCTTTATTTTTTTTGAGCAGTGTATATGTAAGAAATAATAAAGTAAATGTTGGTAGAATGGCATATTGAATGAAAGCTAATGAGTACTCCCAATAAATGTGGTCTCAAGCTTCACCCGCAGTTTGTGCAACATTTGGGATATACTCAAACTCTTCAATTCTGTAGAGTCAAAATGTGCATCTTTTCTCCTAATGTCATATCTCCTAGTAGTCGGCAGTCACAGTCCAGTGAGGTACAAAGTGTATCATCCTGCTGAAAAAGAGGGCACATGTCAGAAAAAGTAGTTTTCAGTTACAGCGGCGTCATTTTTATCTACAAATAAATTGTCAAAAAAAAAAAAGGTGTAAAATCCTGTTTGAGTTTTGGCTGCTAATCTGATGCAATTGCAAGGTCAGTGTTTGATTCCTAGTTTTATAGATAACAGACACAAGCATGTTTGATTTGTAGGCTTAAAAAATGCAAGGATTAAAAATAATGTACATGGTGTGTGAAAAGATCTCACGTAGAGTATTTAGTTCTTTGGAAAAGGCAGCAAGACATAAAACTTAAAACCTGTTTAATTTTCTTTTAACTCATTACAGGATGCATATTTCCTTCAGTCTGAAGCCAGAGAGGTTTGACGACTGGAAGCAGGAAGACTCATATTTTCCACAGATTAAATAAATGGATACACGACTGGGTTCTTGGCTTGGAGTACTCGTTTGAGACACCCAGCAGAGACTCCTGGAAGTTAAAGCTCCCAGCCAAGAAATATTCTGGCAAATATACCTCCTAACTGTTAATTTCTCACTTTTCTTCCCTCTCATCTTTTTCTCCACTAAATTAAGCGCCATGTTGACCAGATGACTCACAGCTACTAATTCATGCGTGAGTTCCTGTGCAGCTCAGACCTTCTTCTCCCCCTCCCCCAAAAAAGATCAAATGAGCTTTTCTTCTGCACAAGAACATCACATCATCTTTTGTGCGTGAAAAACCAACAGCACATGAGCTCACGGTGTTGATCTAAAGAGGCTCAGGAAACACTGCATGTGCTTTATTGTTGAGCGGAGCAGCAAACAGCTCTTGTTTATGTGAGTCTGGATGTCTGTTCCCATCCGGAGAAATGCCCCCTGATCTGAAAGACAGAAAAGAAAAAAAAAAAGGGCCACCCACAGGGCAAGTAGCTGTCATCGCTAATTCACTGGGGGCTCAGTTCAGTCAATTCTTTAAGCAACCTCTCTGACATTAAAAAAAACACCTTCTATTGAAGATCTTTACAAAAGAGACCTCTTACATTCTCTGGCTGGGAGATTACTGGGAGGGCTGGTGCAATTATGTGTTCTCATGCTGAATGGAGAGGAGCACAGAGTTGTGTCTAATCTGCAACTCAAACAAGACTGAATCTAAGCTAATCAACAACGAATTACAATGCGAGGCGCAGGTTAACAAAACATAATAAAGCAGGATGGACGTGTTGGTGTGCGTGTGTGTGTGTGTGTGTGTGTGTGAATCACGCTCGGATGTTTCAAACACACCCGCAGGCTTGAAAGAGCTTAGTCAAAGAGCCAATTGACACATTTGGGAGGAATAATACACACAGTAATCTGAAACAAAACAAAACAAGAAAACATTAAATTAACTTTCGCATAAAATATATCAGGAACATCCTGTAACAACGGCCCTCATTAAATAACATGTCAGTGTGAGCCTGTGGTATAATATGGATTTTAACCTACAGGTGTCCTTGTTAAGTTGTTTGAGCATTAATTTGACGTTTGAAAGCTGTGCTTTTACCTAAAGATTTTGTCCTGTTTTATTCATTGATCAGTTTTTATGTTGTCCCGCGCATTAACTGTAACGTGGAAGCTGAAGCAAAAACGACACAAGCGCCCCCTGCAGTAAAGGTTTATCAGGGGGTTAAACTCATTTACATACRGAAGCAAAATCCAAAACTTAGTTCAAATCAAAGGCCAGTTTCTGCTAATATTTAGTGAAAAAAATGTTGTTTGACAAATTATTCTTATAGAAATACAAATCACCTTTTTCAAATTATGTTTTATGTAGCATTTAGAACATAAATTGCCTAAGAGATGAAGAAAAGCGATTTAAAAAGATATTAGCATTCATTTAATATACTCTCTATCAACAACTTTTTCATTTGTTCTTAGAGATACATTTTTTAACTAGTTAAAAAAAAGAATAACCTCAGGTTGATTGTCAGTTGCTTTTTCCACACCAAAACCAAAAATTACTGAAAAATTCAAATTTCACTTTTTCGGTTCCAAACTTGCCAGCTGTCATAAGAAGAATGCACTAAATCCACTGACAAATAGAGAAACTCTAAAACTATTTCACATTTAAAGTTTTTACCTTTGGGATCAGATAAAATGGTAACAAGGGTCAGACTGAGTGATGTACATGAATAGGACAATTACCCAATGAAAAAAAATAAAAGTTTTTTTGTAGTTTTTATCCTGCTAATGCAGTAGTTCCCAACCCTGGTCCTCAAGGACCCCCTATCCTTTATGTTTTACTTGTTTCCCTGCTATTCAGTAGGTCTTCAGAAGATTATTAATCACTCATTCATTCAAACCAGGTGAGTCAAATCAGGAGAACATCTAAAAATCAGTGCTTTAAATGTTGACCAACACCTCAAGAGCTACTCTGAGCTTGATGAGACATTTTCAAAATATAATATTGACTCAGTTTTATGTTTTTTAATGTTGCCTCTGGAAGCCATTGATTCTTTGCCATTTATATGTAAATAAATCAGATAACATGTATTAAAGCAGTGATTCTCAACCCTGGTCCTCAAGGACTCATTTCCTGCTTGTTTAGATGATCTCCTGATTTGACAGACCTGGTTTGAATGAGTGAGTGATTAACAATCCTCTGAAGACCTGCTGAATAGCAGGGAAACAAGTAAAACATGCTGGATAGGGGTACTTGAGGACCAGGGTTGGGATTCAAACCACTGTGCTAATGCATGTCCGTTCCTAATGGTTACAAATAACACATTAGGACGAGTAGGCGGGGCTTTTAAACACATTTTTAATGAGCTCAAGCTTAAAACAATGCTTCCAACTAAAGAAAATTTTTAAGTTTTATTTTTGCATTTGAATGAGTGTTTGTGAGCAAAATCTCATGTACCATTAAAAATGATTTCATGAAACTGACAGTAATTCGTGGACGTACAGCTACAACTCAAGATGGCTGCCAAGAAAAAAAAACATGGCTGACAAAGATAATCAACCTTAGCAAACACAAAAATGGCTATTACTCAATCAGTTTTACTGATATTAAGTTTAAATTTGGTGTGGTGGTAGCTGAGAGTCATCCCTAACAGTATTTAAGTAACAGACTGTGCAACATCTTTAGTATGAAATGAAGTAAACGTTATTTTATGGAAAGCTACGTTTTGATTTTGAACAGTTTCTCGTACTGATAAAGTTATTGGAGGTCAAATCAAACCAAAGTAAATATGTAAACTAGTACACTACAGCATTGTTTGAATGGGCCTTCTTTCATGTTCGGTGGATTTGGTTTAGAGAAAGATAAGATCTTTAGGATCACTGATTGTTTGTTTTGTGGGTTTAATGTAATTTAACATCCCTAAAACATGGCGGCTCACAAGTTACAACCATATATTTTCCTTGTGATGCATTTTYCCCCCTGCACATGCCATTAAATTAGCATATTCTACCATTTCTGAGTTATGTAAACACGAACCAGATAAAAATCTTAAAGCTCCGGCGCCTGAATGACACGACGACCTACAATTACTTTCGATCCGAGGTACGACTTCGACAGAAGACCTCTTCTGAGGTGGTGTTTTTCAAAACTTGAGATCTTATCTCACAAAAAATGTTTAAACTTGATTGAAGTGATTACCTGCCCGGGTATGTGTGGAATGCGCGCCTGTATTGAATGCTACTGTATGAAAAAAAAATGTGAACGAGCAAATACAAACTTTGGCCAAGGATATCTGTAAATGTTTTTTTTTTCCGTCTGTGATAAAATTGGAGGTCGATTTATTCTTGATCGTCGGGCGCAGTTCTGCTCCACCTCGCTCTGTCACAGAGGGATTTATCTGTTTGTCGGTCCATTATAGTGCACCGACCAACACGTGCTGCATACTTCAACCACCGCTATCACCGCCACAATCTCGTCTTCTCTCTTCCTTCCCGGCTATTCAACTGAACCTACATGTGAGCAGCGGGGTTTGAATCCTGAGAATTGCCACCGACATTTAGACAAATCTCACAGAGCTGCTTGTAAGAACATTGAAGGAAATAAGTCATAATAACATCAGTTGTGATAAAAACGAGAAGCGTTTATCCAACAGTAAGTTCAGAAGGGGCAACAAGTTGGAAGTGTTGTGGTTTCGAGCAGGAAGGACACACCCAGGACTGATAACGCACGATGCTTAGACTGAAAACATCCCCGTGTCCAAGTCTTATCCTCAGCTTGTCGCTACACGCAGGAAAAAAAAAAAAAAAAGAGATGAAGTTCCTACTGAAAGTCTGCAGGCGTATCAAACTGTACTTTAGACCTAAAGGATTGTTTTGACCAAAATTGCCTTTTCCCCCAAATGGCTCTAATAGTGAGACAAATAAAAAAATAGAACATTATAAATAAACAAAACACACTCCAACATACAAATGAGTCAGAGGAGTGTGTTGCTGGGTGATGCTGGATTGCAGAGCTGAGCTATTTTCAGATTTTTATGTCTGTTGGTCGTCGCCCTCAGCACCATTCCCCCCTGCTGCTGTAATAAAATGGTCTCACTGAAACTAATGACAAGGCTGTGCGTTGTTTTGTTTTTTTAAACAAAGTGCTATTGTTTGTGTAAATGCAGTTTAAGTGTGAGCAGGGTTCTGGTAGGCCTGCCTCCGGTGAAGTGCTTCCAACAGCATTTCTGTTGTAGCTGTTGAGGATTTTTCATTCGGGTCATTAGACCCGATTGGTTAAAAAAATAAATAAATGGATAAGTCAGTTGAATGAAACCCAAAAAAGCAGCTTAAAACCTTTTATTTGTGTAAACAGAGTCAAAGAACAGTGGACATTTGTCTGAACAGATTTTTACTAGAATGTTAATCTTTGCATTGACGAACTTTAACCAGTATTTCTTGTGCAAACTGTTGTTAATTAAACCCAAAGACTGGGCAAACACTGTTACTACAGCCTGAAACCAGTTGGAGAAAGGACAGTTTGCCGTGTTCCTCCAGTGTCAGTCTGCAGCTGACGGGAGCAGCCCCTTCTTGGCACCCTGGTGATAGTGACTCTCCAGCTTCCCTGTGTGAGACAAGKGGGGGAGGGGAGAAAAAAAAGGAAGGGTGGGAGGGAAGAGAAGAGGAAGGGATGAATCAAAACACCATCAAAGGGACAGAATGACCTTTCTGAGAGCTCAAGGCCGGCTGATTACAGGCGGCCTCGGGTTGATGCACAGAGACAGCCAGATGATGAAGGAAAAGACCAATGAGACCTTTTGTTCTACAGCAAAAAAAAAAAAAAAAAGAGATTAGGGAATGGCTTTTGTTACCAACAGAACAAGACGTACTTAAACTCAGTTATTCAGTACAGACATCTATTTAGCACAATTCACTGTCAACAAAGGCAAACAGGGGATAGAAAAAGGGAAACTTAAGCTGGAATATTATTAAAGTCAGAACTTGAATTAAATGTCACAACTGCTACTCTGACCAGACTGGGGAAAAAAAAAGGCTGAAAATAAAACTTTAAAATCAAATGTTGATAGGAAAGTGAATTGTGTCATGGTTTGAAAGGAGCAAACACCAAAAACAACATCAGAATGTTCAGGTCATGGGGTTTAAGACTGGGCTCCATCAGATTTATTGAAGAAAAATGATTTTTTTCAATATAAGTAATTTTGGATAAACCTCCAAACTATAAAACATTTTTATTGTTGTCAAGATGTCGTCCAGCTTAATTTCATGGTTGTGAAATATACTAGATTTTATTGATTGTTTGGATTTTCTTCTCTTGGTTTTGATCCCTCTTTCTTATTTATTATATTAAAATTTGAAACTGATCTTTATTTTTTGTAAAAAAAACAGGTAAAACCTGTTTTACTTTTTTAGAATATTCTTTAAATTCTTAAATAAATAAACAAACACTGTAAGGACAAAAATGAGTCATTTGATAACATGATGGTGTCATCAGCATAAAGAAAATAATTTAAAGTGAAAAATAAAATGTTAACATTAGCAAAGAAATTAGCTGGGGGTCAACACTCATCCCTGTGGGATGCCTTTTCAAACAAAATAAATGGAAAGTAAAACTAATTTTGGACTGAAAAAAGGAAACTAAAAAATGCAGGAACAATTATTTATTATGAATGATTACTCATTTAAAAACAATCATAAGTCTTGATTAGTTTAAAAAAATCTAAATTATATTTTAGAGGCAATAGTTGAAACATCAAGATGCCCAATAAACACGAATACTAATCTGTCTGGTTTTGCCATTTGCACCAAGTTTAACAAAAGCATGATTTATCGAATTTAGTTTTTACTCTATTTCTTGAAAATGAACTAACCTACTGTGCCTTTTTCACATTATTTTTTATTATTTCTGATCAGTTAAAGTTTGTCTGCGTTCCTGCAGCTTAGTGGTAAAGCCTGATTAGCTAATCACCATTAGATGTGTTACCACAGTATGACCTATGATTGCCTTATGATTACTGATCTTGAAGAAAGCCTGAGGGCTCAAACGTTGGTCTAATTAAATCCAAGTGAATTCAGACGGAGGTGTGGATTATTTCACACTTTCTTCTCATGCAGTCATCAGGTTCTACCCATCAGCACTTCATCACAACTTAGTGCAATGCTTGTCTAATAAAGCAAACTAAACTYGATGAAAGTCAACAAAATGCTAAGTTCTTCTAATGATGAACTTTAGCACATTTTATGAAGAGTGTTTAAGTATTTGATTATTAAAACTATAACAGACTTCTGAGTTGTCTTTTATCTAGTTTTATTGTGTTGGGTTATCTTCTGGATCTTAAAATGACATTTAGTTGTTCTGTTGTGTTTTGCTTGCTGTTCATATTTTCCTTGGTTCTCTTTTCTTTGACATTCTACCCTACTAAGCCTGTTCTGTTTGTAACCAGGTGCCTTTTGAATTTCCTCCTTCTGCAGCATCTTAGTGCCTGGTTTCATAAATTTATTTCAGACAACACTGGGCCACACCCTCCTGACTCACATGAGTGTAATTTTGAATCCTGCTCCTACACAAAGCATGACAAAAAGAAGTGTTTCAGAGTTTCAGTTAGCTGCTACATTGTAATCACCATTTTAAAACGTTTCAAGTCTCCTTGTGTTTAACGTAGCTAACTCTTGTACTGTACATTTAAGCAGACGGAGGGCAAAATTAGTGAATTAAACTGACGTGTCATGATCGTCATTGGTTTAGCCACAGTGGCCCAGACCAAATATTTACCAATGTTTTGAAAACAGGCTATGTTAGGATAACGTCCTACTTTGCCACGGAGAAAACAGGAAATCATGAATGTTGTTATTTTCATTGAGAGAGATCTATTCAAACCACAAAAATTGTGTTATTGTAGTAATAAACCTCATGGCTGTCAATCCATGAATTCTTTTTTTATATTTATAAAGAAAAACACTGACAAGAACATGCTATTATAAATAACTGTTCAACACCTTTATCCAACACATTTATCTGAGACAGTTGTCTCCATTTTAAGCAAAAATAGGCTTTATCTCAACATGTACAAACAGAACAGAAGCTTCTTAGAAGAAAAAAAAGGGGAAACGTTATGAGCAATTTTCTAATAAACATTACACAATGCCCTCATTTATCAGCGCTCTCCGCTCATGAATCCAAAGAATGTTAAAATCTGTGCATGTCTGCTGAGAACGCATCAGTGAAGGATTCACTCGTTAATCCCTCTGGATCCTGTTGTGGAAACGGGCTAATGGCACCTGCACAGACTTGCTGACAACTAGACTGTTGTATCATAAACATTAAAAACACCCATTGTTAACGTCTCTATGGATATAATTCGCTGTTTACAGAAAGCCTGTTTGCAGAGATGAAACAGCTGACACTCTGGAGGAGGGATTTTTAGCAAGTTGCTATTTATATAAATGCTTGTGGCGTGTGGTGTCAACAGAAACCCCCTGCAGCCACTGACCAGAGCCGACCTCCTAATCTACCGTAACGGCAACCTTTTTCTTGTCAATACAGCGTTCCTGATATTGATCACATTTCTCCATTAGGACTCCCATCCTCGCAAACTGCGCTCCGTAGCCTCTGTCCTATGCTGCGGAGCAACCTCGGCTGGATTTCAATAACCCGTGTCGACCCTGTCCTTAACTGCAAAGCAAATAATAACCCAGTGTCTTGCTGCCTCACACAGGCCTCCTGTTTGTCAAGCCACAGCGTGCGCAGGCTGTTTTCTCCATAGCTGAGGCAAAAATGGTGGGAAATGATACAAGTGTGACAGGCAGGGGTTGTATTTGTCACTTGTGCTTCTCTTTTCATGTCGTCACGTTATGGCTGAGCTCTGCGGGTAGCAGCGGCATAAACACAGCGTTTAGAAAAGTGCCGTTTGCTCAGCCTTTTCCAAGCCTGTCTAAATGGCTGTCAGTGTGTGTCTGTTTTGCCAGGAGCGAGTGCTGCTTAGGTGTGGAAACCCCTCGGGAATTTTTGGGCGAACGCTGCCAAAAAGGTTATCCGAGATTACTGTAATGATGCATTCATCCTAACAGACTTTCACACCAAATTTAAAGGGCGGCAGGCTTTTTTTTTTTGTTTGAAAATGTTTAGCAGACAAGTTCTGGGGAGTAGAAAAATAAATACTGGATGAGAAGCGCCTCATGATTATATCATACAAACCCAGTGACGGCAGTGGAACTCAGTGGAGCTGGAGTTAAGAGTTGGATTGCRCGAGGTTTTCTTTTGGGGAGGTGTGCAAATCCTTCAACTCCTCAAACTAGTTCTGTCCACACTTTTGTTTCTTGTTGAGTGGCGTGCAAATAAAAGCCTGAACCAGTGCGCGGAAAATCTGCTGCGGCGCTAGTTCTCGCCACAACACGATGATGTTTCTACAGGATGCTCTGTTTTAAAAAAATAGAGTTGATTTTCAGAGTYAAAACAAGTTCTTGGGAAAAGAAAGAGCACTTAGTTGTTTTCGGCACAGTTAGCCCCTCATGAATACCAAGCAAAGTGTAAAATTCCTCAAAGTACTATCCAATGCAACGTGTGAAAAGTCTTCGTGGTTTTTTGACGAGTCAGATCCTAAACACTGATACCAGCATGTTTATCCACTGATGAGTCATTTAACTACCTTGGAGCGAAACAAGCTGAGAACAGACACAGTGCTATATCAGCAGCTAAAGTGTGTTTATTTGTGAGGTGTTAAAATTTATGAAGCCTTTGCCACCTGCTGAATGTAAATCTACTCTATGCTTTGTTTACCTCTGCAGATGTGAATCACTGCACGCAGACAGGATGCTTCTATGACTATCAAAACAACGCCGTGAGAAAAAGGACAGACTTCTGTGTGCGCCTCTTAAAAAGAGGAGTGAAAATGAAACTGTTGTGGTCTGAAGCAGGCTCTGAAAAAGTAGGTGTTAAAAACATACAGCATGTTTGCGTGCATGTGAACGTACTAGCGGCGGTCTTCTCTCATCAGTCAGTCTGAAAGTGTTGCCCCATCACCTTTTAGTATCGTCTCAGCTTGCATGAAACCTCGTTTGAAACATCAATGCCAAAAATAAAGCACTAGGTGCTATCCAGTATGAAAAACCCCCCACCAAAAAACAGGTGGGTGTAGCTGAACCATGCACACGGGTCTGTTTTCCACAGTTTATTGTTGGATGAAGCTGCATCATAAAAATGAAAGAAGTGAAGCAAAATGATAGAGGTAACCAAATGAGTTAAAGAAAAAAAAATACTTCAAAGCTACCAAAAGGTAAAATGTAGCTGCAGGGTCTGCAGATCATTCTCCAAGGATTCATAACAACGAATGACCTCTTTAACATACCGATGGTTATGTGCTCTTTTGCTGCCATAAAACGATTTATTGTCTGCCAACAGCGAAGGCAGGCACAGAGCTGAAATGATGAAGACAAACTTGCCATTGTAAGCCAGACACATTAAACACACACACACGTCAAATGTTTGATACCAACGCTGATTAACTGGTGTACGACATAWAGCTAAGAATCATCTTTGTAATGAGGAGATTTCAACAGTGAAATTGCAGCAAAATCATCACTTGTTAATAAGGTTGGTTGTTATGAGCT